TAATTATGCAAATTAGGTGATTAATATGCACAAATATTATCCGAAACAATCTCTGCATAGTCCTTGAGCATGCCAGTACCAAGTTCATTGAAATGTAATGCTCACTACTTATATCAAAAGCTGAAAATTAATTAATTACGCAAATTAGGTAATTATATGTACTGATACTACCATAAAAACTATCAGGTCTGTGCAGTGTCATATGACCATCTATGTACCAAGTTTCATTGAAATGTGATGATTAATACTTGAGATATCAGTGGAAAAACCGAAAATTGACTAATCATTATGCAAATTAGGTAATTAGTATCCACGGATTATTACCAAAAACTAATCAAAACCTAGCATTAGTTCAGAGCATCTATGTACCAAGTTTCATCAAAATCCAATGAGTGGTTGTTTAGATATCAGTAGAACAGTCATCAAATCAAATCTGCGCATTGGCCCAGAGCATCTATGCACCAAGTTTCATCAAAAACTGATGTATGGTTCTTGAGATAGCAGTGGAACAGTCGGACACACATACACACACCCACACACACACACACATACAAACACACTAACTGCAAAGACTCCCATTTTGTGTTTCGCACATGCGAGTCAAAAATTAAATAAAGAACATTTTGCTCATAAATTAACTGGCAATAAATTCTGTCAATAATTAAAATACAGCACAATACCTATAATGTATTGGTGGAATTTCAATGTAAGCTTGAAAAACAGTGGAACAAATTAGAAATCACCATATTCCTCATGCAGATCATGCACACCTCGTTTATATGCATAATTCTTTATATAATGGACACCAAGAAGGAAGGAGAGAAGCCTTTCATGCATTAACTCAATCCACCAATACAAGTTCCCAATTTATTATATTCTAATATTAGGATAAAAATGTCTATGTTTCCTCTGGTTGTAAGTAGTCTGAATTGTCTTTACTAATGCTAAATGTGTTTTATGTCTCAGTTGTCTAATCTGACTTTAGTCTTGTGAACAAGCAGCCTGTCGGCTGAGATAGCTCCGCTGTTAACAATGCAAATGGCAATTAAAGAACAGAAGATATCATTAGAAAATGAACAAATCTAAGAGAGGTCCACATGTAGTACATATATATGTAATATCAAAGCAATTGGACTTGCGGTTTTCAACAAGAAGTCGAAAATATCACTTTTTACCAAAAATTACAAAAATATTCATCAAAATT